AGGCTGCCTTAAGGGTGGGTCTGGTAAGACATGGGGATCTAGGGATTGAGACTGTGCCTGACTGCGTTTGCCCTAGCAAGTGCTGCCCTGGAAATGTTTCTTTTAAAAATATATATTTAGAGATAGTGTATCATACTGCTTATAATACACTGTATTTTTTCTTTACATTGAAGTATCTAAGGTATTTCTTTACAAACACAGCCACCAACCATAGATAGATCTCGTTAGGATACCTATCACTTCCTTCTCAGTGTAATTTATGCTCTCTTGTGGGTCTCAGGAGCTAAGGTATGCTTAGGAAGGCGGTAGGAAGCAGAGGGAAGAAAGTTGTGTAATGCCAAGAACTACCTCTAGGATAGCTGAAGATGAACCCTATTCAACTCCAATAGAGGAGAGAAGGCCTTGCCAGAAGGTGGAAAGGGTAATGGCTGCATGAAGGATTAATTCGGTGGTCCACTAGGAGGATAAACGACCTGTCTCAGTTGTGGGGATTCAGTCTCACTGATGAACATGATTTCTTCAAAGGCTTCCATTTGACTCACCTCCCACTCAGTCGCCTTCTCAGGTTTTAATCGAATTTCATACTGGAGTATGAGCCAACCAGACCTTGTGTCGACCAGGGTGGGTGCGAGCCATTTTATCCATAGATATGCCTCTCTGTCTTGTGACTTTTTTATTTCCAAAGTCACATTCTGGGGTGCGTTTGGTTCAACTACGGATATAAAAGACATTCCAGTGGCATTCATTGTTTGCACCTTTTATTTGGCCCTAGCATTTGCTGTCATGAATTGCGTTTTCCATCTATTATTTTATAACCCCCTTCTATTACACTATGAGCTACTAGAAGACAAAACATGTCCTCTGTCTCACATTTGTACCTCTGGTTGAGGTTTATATGATAAGAGTAACATGCAGCTGAAATTTCCTTCTTGGTGTTTTCTTCACTTTACACCAGCTAAGGTCAGATACAAACCCGAGTTATTTGCATGAGGGCAGAGATCAAACTGGACTAAGATTTGCAAGTGGAAGTCAGGATGGAAGATTACTGGGAAAGAATTTAAAATAGCTTAGTTTCCTCAGGGATTAAGGGATGGAAGAGTACTGGGAAGGGATTTAAAGTAGTCTGTACTCTCCTTGAACATTCACATGATTATTGTGAGCCATTTATTTGTATTACAGGCTTGTAGGTAGAAGTTAGCAGATTGCATCTTTGGTTCATCAATTACATTTAATCACCTCTTTTCCCATTCACTCGTTCAACAAGTGTTTGCTGAATTCCTATTAGCAAGATGAGAGCTTACTACAGGCAACCTACATAGAACGGCACCACCACATCATTTAATTTAATGTCTCCAGCAATTTCATAGCACTCTATTAATGTACCCATTATACAGAGGAAGAAATCAGCTTGGAGGAGGTAAAATTAGATCTCAGATCACATATTTGGCAACTCTCTATGGGATAAAGTTGAGGAAAATGAGCTGTAGAGATTGTTAAATTTGAGGCACAAGATGCTCAAAAGTTATCAAAAGATGCTCAATGCCATAAACCTTCTGTAAAATAAAAATCAAGGGCACAATTAGTCGAAAGAAAATTAAAATTAAAAAATGAAAAAAATAAGCATGAACTGTTTGCATGCTTATGTGTGGTAATCTGACCACCTAATTGGAAGACAGCTGTATGCACCGTAACAAGCACTGCTGAACTCTGATCATCTTCTCTAGTGAAATTCTGTACAATTTCTATTCATTTGCTTAGGAAAAAAAATTTCACAAAAGAGAGCACAGTTAGCTACCATTTTATACCCACTAGAAGGCTAGAATTTTAAAAAGTGAAAAATAACATGTGTTGGTGAGGATAAGGAAAAACTGGAGACCTTTACATTGCTAGTGGGAGTGGGAGCTAGTGTAGTTGTGAGAAACAACCTAAAAGTTCCTTTAAAATGTAAGTAGAAATGCCACATTGCACATTGGATCAAATATCTGTCTGTCTGTCTGTCTGTCTGTCTGTCTGTCTGTCTGTCTGTCTATCTATCTATCTATCTATCTATCTATCTATCTATCTATCTATCTATCTACCTATCTACCTATCTATCCATCCATTTGTCTATCTGCCTGCCTGTCTGTCTATCCAGCTATGTATAATATATTCTCTATTTATATATGTTTTCTATTTCTTGCGCTTTCTCTTTCTCTCCTTCCTTCCCTTTCTCCCTCCCTTTGTTTCTCCTCAAAACTGAAAACAAATCTTCAAGGAAAAACCTGTGTATCAATATCCATAGCAATGTTATTCATAATAACCAAAATGTGGCAAACCTCAAATGTCTACACACTGAGGAATGGATATACAAATGTAAACAAATGTTTCTACAGTCATGTATTGCATGGAATATATATCATCAGAAGCTGGGAGCAGAAGGCACAAGTTTTTTTTTTTTTTAATGTATTTGGTACAGGGTCTCACTACATAGCTCGGACTCATAGTGCTCTTCCTGTTTTCAGCCTCCCTAGCGCTGGGATTACAGGTGTGTGCCACCACTCCCAGACTTGGTGGCCAGCTCAGCATGCATGGGGGCAGGACCAGTGTGGCCTGTGGTGCCAGAGATCAAACCCTGGTCCCTGTGCTTGTCCAACCAGGTGCTTAGTTCACTGAAGTATCTCACTGGCCCTACAGGTATTGTTTAGTGGGTATGAAGACTATATTTAAGTTGATGAACTTATAGGGAAATAATTTTAAATAACTTATTTCCTTCACCTGGTAGCTGTAACTAGATAACAATTGTAAAACATTACAAATGAATTAAACACGCAAAATTACACTCTGTAAAATGGAGGTTTTTGTTATGTGCATTTTATCAGTTTTATAAGGTGAAAGAGGCATGACTCAGACTCCTGTAAGAATGGGACCCAGACACAGGTCCCTAATGGTGCATTGCTTAGGGTACTTACTTGGCTCTTGGCAGTCCTGCCCCTGCTAGTGAGGAACATCTTCTCCCTAATTTATTACCTCCCACAACGGTCTTCTGCCAGGTGGGGGAAAAGTGTCTCTATCGTGTCCTTGGCATTGTGGCCTACATTTGCCTTATAAATGAACTTCAGCAAAATGTGCACAAAACTCAATGCTTTTGTGTTACTGAGTAAACATAAAAAATTATTTTATACATATTCACTAAATGAACATTCAGCTAATTAATAGAGATTTTACAATATACTAATACTCAACAGTGTCTTTAATTAAAAAAATCATGTACAAAGGTCCAAGTAAGATGTCCAGAATGAATCCTTCATGGCAACATTTCTAAACCTGAGAAATATTGACACTTTGGACTGGACACTTTGCTGTCGAGGGACTGCCTGCCACCTGGCTGGATGTCCTGCAGCAACTCTGGCTTCGACTATCAGAAGTCGGCAATACTACTGCTCTCTCTAGGTTTCAATGTTTAAAAAAACATTTAAAGACACTTCTAAATATTCTTTGGGGGCAAAATACCCCCCCCAGGAAGGAATACCTATTTTACAGTTCTTGCCTTAGTTAAATAATACCCAACAACAACAATAACACAGAAATCAAATTCTGAGCACTTATTTGCTAGTGATGCACTTCAGGTCATTACTGGATGAGATTCAAACTGATAGAAAAATGTATTGTTGTAAAAAATGAATTTAAAGTGAATGTCCATGACCTGTCACTCAAGCTGTAGGATGCTACTTTATAGGCTAGTTCTGGGAACACTTCTTTTATTTCTTTGAAAAATATGATCCAACACATAGTTGGTCCAACAGTAGAGAAAAATTTGGTTTCTAGAATCAATGCAAATTTGACACATACGTCTCAATTTCATTTTGAAGACTTTCTGTCTTTCTTCAGTGAGCCCATCATTTTGTGGATCATATTTATTACAACAGTCAGTCACCTCAGAATCTCTCTCTCTCTCTCTCTCTTTTTTTTTTTTGAGGAACCAGAATCTCTCTTGTGTTCATTGTTTTATCCATAAATATAACACTTGAGAGCAAGAAAGTGCTACAAAATGGTTTATCATCTTAAACACATCTTATTTCAAGTGAATTTATACAATCAAAAATAATTTTATTTGTACTTATCAGTGGAATTACCTTTCTGTTTTTCTTATAATGAGATCAAAATTTTCTACCCTGATGAGTATTCCAATGATATGCTAGAGGACAAATATTCAAGTCTGAACCAGTTGGTAGTGGAAACATTTTTAGTTTTAAAAAGTCAACCACTCATGCCAATAAAATGATATAGAGTTGGATACTGAAGGGTCCAAGCCTGATTTTCCTTGTTGGGTGGAATTAGGTAAACCAAAAAGAGTTGGATGACCTTGAACCTAGTTAGCTTCCTAGATTATCCAAGATAAGAATGAACTCAATTCTGGACAAGTCAGCTCTTGTCCTGGGATCCATTTCATTTCCTGCCTAACTACAGAAGCCACTGTAACTATGCCTAGTTGCCCTACAGCTTACTGTTGATTATACAAAGCAAAAGACTTCTCTCGGGCTGAGTTTGTTCTATTTGGCTGATGGCTTCTGTAAACATTGCACTTGTGATTTTGACCTCCAGTCTGGTGCTCAAGTAACACTACTTGTTCCCCAACTTTTTATTTGTGAAATAATAACTCAGGTTGTTCTGAATGAATTACAAGTGGCTTGAGAATTGTGTTTGGAGGGCCAGCGAGGTAGCTCAGTGAAGTAAGTGCCTGCTTTGGCAGAGCTCAGCGGCTGGGGTTTGATCCCCAGAGTGCTGTGCTGCCCTCCCCCTGGGGGTGCACTGAGACAGCGATTCCAACTGGGCGTGGTAGCATGCGTCTGTAATCCCAGCAGTCAAGAGGCTGAAAACAGGAGGATCACTATGAGTCTGATCTACGAAGTTAGACCCCGTAGACCTTGTCCTAAATTCATAAAGAAAAAATTCCCTTTAAATGAATTGCATTTGGGGTAAAGCAATTGGAGCAAGTTTTGTAGATGCAGAACCAGACAAACTTCTAAAAGCCTCTTCATGAAATAGCTCTGTACTCCAAAAGGAGAATGAAAAGAAATCTCAGGGTTCCAGGGGAGACTGGGTCATCACATGCAGTATCAGGGCAGGAGACATACATAGAACACTTATGCTGGATACAGTAGAATGGGAATTAGGATCATGGGAAAGCACAAGGATATAAATTCCTCAGTGGTAAATTTACTGTCATGAATAACAGAACACCAAAGTTAATTAGAAACACTAGTTGACAAGACGTTGTGAAAAATCTCATCCTTTTTTCTGGGAATCTATCCATAAGTCAAGAAGACTCAAACTGAATTTGGGTAAGAAATTATGGATTAATTTAATAATAATAAATGATATTAATAATTTAATAAAATTAATATAATAATCTCGTAAAACAAATAGCATTAATAATTTACTAATAATAGTACATCTTTCACCCACCCCCAGCTGCCTCCCCTTACCTATGTAAGTCACATCCACAAAACGTACATCTGAGGCAGTGTTTCCCATTTTATTAGTAGCATTTACTCTCATGACGTATATTGTCCATATGGTGGTGTACTTCCTACTAAAGAAACAGGAGTTGGGACCACCAGTAGTGTAGTCAGGACACTCATAGATGATATTCTCTCTGCAAGGAGTAAAATATTTGAAGTAAATAAAAATAATAACCAGTCTCATTTTCCTCTTCATAGATCACCACCACCAGCTTTTGGAAATCAGGTATTCAGCGTGCAAAAACCAGAGCAGAAGACTAAGTCTCTGTGTTCTGCCCACATCAGCCTGGTGTGAGGGACGGCACAGGGCAGAAAAGGTTGCTTCAGGCTCTCAATTTCTCTGCCTGTCATCTGTCCTTCCCGTCTACTGCTATTGTTGTGAACTTTGTGATATGTATTTCTTGCCAATAAATCTTTGCACTGGCAATAGCCAACGCACACCCATACTCAGGGCACTAGAACTGGGTCACCTCAGGAAACGGGGAATTTCTGGCTGGGCAGTATTATTGCACAGAGATGTTCAATTAGATTTGTAGAAAGAGGATTCAGAAGGATCACAAGTCGGGTTAGTACGCTTTGAGTGGCACAAAGTCAGCAGCAGAGTGCAGGGACTGTGAAAACAGATAGTTTAGCATGAAGCAGCTCGCTAGATTGCTCTTATTTTGACTTAAAAGCCTCAATTCCAGATACACCATGCAGGTGCAGAGGCTTCCTTGACTTTCGTTACCAGTTGGAGTTTCTAAAATCTATTTGCGTGACACGCCTGTGGGTTCCACGTGAGAGGACAGCTTAGTGTACGGCTAAGCGTAGTCACTGGGAAGTGGACCAGCTGGCTCCACTAGAAATGCATGTTTTATTTTGGGGGGGGGTAAGATACAGTTCCACCAAGACTTCCAGGAGGTTCTTATTATGAGTTGAACCACAATTGCACCCATAGATGATCTTCTTTAGCTTTTGTGACACTGCATCTAAAGGCACCCTCCAGGAAACCTTGCTCCTGGGTCGTTAGTTTCCTACAGAAATATTCTCACCCCTTTTTGTTACATGTTTGTTTTCTTGGACATGAAACAAATTTTCAAACCTCCTGTACCATATTTGTCAATGTTTTTTGGTACAAATTTTCACAATTATATTGCAAAAGTAACGTATTTACCAAGAAGAAATGATGAATGACACCAAACTATAGATAAGTATCTGAGATTAATTACCACTTAGGAAATGCTTGTATGGGGTGCTGCATAGCAATCTAAGCTTATGATAGGTAATTGGAGACACAACTGATTTTGTATTGCGGCTGTGACTGATGGGCTTATGTAGGTTGAGAGATTGTTTGTAAAGAACCTCAATAGAGTAAGGTGGGCAGACATATTGTACTCTTTCCCCAGTGCTAGGAGCCTGATAGATGTAAAACAAGGAGATTATGGGAATTATAAGTCAGAACCAGTGCTACTTTGGCCTGGAGTGTCTGGACACTCTTGTGGGTATGGTAGGAGAAAATCTTTTTACCCTTCCTTGTAGTAAGTCAGCGTGTAATTGGTGGGAAGTCCTCCATTGCTGCCCGGCTTCCACCAGCATGTGAATGTTTCCTTTTCAGGAGAACGACATTTAACAATGACAGGTTTTCCAGGAGGTGACGCTCCTAAAAAAAAAAAAAAAAAAAACAAAAAATAGCCATAGCCATTGGAGTCAACACTGAGGTCTATTCCACCACTTGAGTGTTCCACTGCTAATACACACAAACTGCTGGGGCCCAGACCGGTGATGAATGAGGCTTGGGAGAGAGTAGATGAAGGGGTATGGCGGTCAGAAATGCCAAAGTGTCGGCTTCTGGTCACTCTGTTCCTTGTCCTGTACAGCTGTTGGTAGGAGAGAGATGATAGAGATAGAGGAGATAGAGATAGAGATAGAGATAGAGATAGAGATAGAGATAGAGATAGAGATAGAGACAGAGGGAAGGGGGACTTGTTTGGCGGTAGTGGTGGTAGCGTGTTTATATTTTGAGATGGAGAGACCAACAGATTATGTAAAGACTATGTAAACACAGTTAACTGAAATCCAATGAAGATTATGTAAACATGGTTAACTGAAATCCAATGACGAGTGGACCTGAGAATAAGATGGCTATATCAGGAGTGAACAATCCCATAGTCTACAAGGCAGATACCTTCCCACAACCTAAAGATGACTATACAACAGCGTCTTCACCAGGCACCAGCGACCTGTGCAGGCTTTGCCAACTCATCGCCCTCTGCCACAGCTGCACTCACTAAATTCCACTTTTCTGCCACTCTTGTATTTCTAACTCTATTCTGTTTTGACCTTTTAAATTTAATTTACTTTTGTGTCATGGAAAAAAAGAAAATAAAATTTCATAACAAAATAATAGAAGAAGCACAATAGTTAATACATTACGTGTTATCTTACAAGTGGTTAGTCAGGGTACAAGATATGGATGTAAAAATTCTCTATCAATATTAGCCACAAATCCTTCTCTTTCTTTCTTTCTTTCATTCTTTAGTTCTTTCATTCTTTCTTCTTTCTTTCTTCTTTTTTTTCTTTTGGCAGGACTGGGGATCAAACTCAGGCCCTTGCACTTGCCAGGGAAGTGCTTATTCCACTGAGCCATCTCCCCAGACACAAATCTTTCTTTTTAATGAACAAGAGATACTAATAGTATAATTGACTTGCGCTTTATCCCTTTTCCCTACTGCCTTTCTCCTTTCACCCATCCTAGTTCCTTTTTTCCTTTTTAACAATTTCTTCCAATTTCACAATATCTATTGTACATTTAAAAACTAATTTGCTCTTTCAATTTCTCACAACGGGGAGATAGCATGATTTTTACACATGTGAGTGTGGTATTTACCTGTTTCACTTCTGAGTATGTTCCCAAGGTGCATTCATGTAGGAAAGTCTTAAGTTTATCCTTCTTTATGGCTGAGTAGTACTCCATTGTATAAAATATACCACATCTTTTTCATCCATTCCTCAGTTTATGGGCATTTGGGTTGATTTCAAGATTTAGCTATTATAATTTGTGCTAATATAAACCTAGGTTCACATATATCATTGTGGTATGTTTTTAATTCTAAGAAGATACCCAGAAAAGAAATAGCTGGGCTCACTGTGACCTCTAACCCTAGATTTCTTTTAAATTTTAAAAATTATTTATTTATTTGATAAAGGTTCCTACTATGCAGCTTCGACTCATAGTGATCCTCCTATCTTAGTCTCCCCAGAGCTGGGATAACAGGCATGCACCACCATGCTTGACTTCGGTGGCTGGTTCAGGGGGACTGCATGTGGTACTGGGGATTGAACCCGGATCCATGTGCTTCCCAGGCAGGTGCTTAGCCCACTGAGCTATCTCCCCAACCTCTAATCCTAGCTTTTTAAGGAATCTCCGCATTGATTTCCACAGTGGTTGTACCAGTATACACTCCCACCAACAGTGGAGAAGGGTTCCTTTTCTCCCACAGGCCTTCAGAGTTTGTTTATTGGTTGATTCCTTGATAATAGCCATTCTTTCTCAGGTGAGATGGAATCTCAGTGTTGCTTTAATTTGCATTTTTTGAATGACTAATGATATTGAACATATTTTTCTTATATCTTCATTTGTATTTCTTCTTCTGAGAAGTGTGTATTCATCTCAGATGCCCATTTTTGGGTTGGATCTTATTTTTGTAAATGTATTTGTTACAGGGTCTCACTACGCAGCTCTGACTCGAAGTGATCCTCCTGTTTTTAGCCTCCTCAGAGCTGGGATTACAGGCATGCACCACCACACCTGATCTCAGTGGCTGGCTCAGTGTGCCCAGGGGTGGGGCCGGCGTGGCATGTGGTGCCAGGGGATCAAACCCTGGTCCCTGTGCTTGCCTAAGCAGATGCTTAGGCAACTGAGCTATCGCACTGGCCCTGGATTGGGTCTTTGAATTATGGGGGCCTGATTTTTTTTTTTTTCATTTCTTTATATGTTCTAGTTACAAGGTCTGTTTTGCTATTTTGTCTTTTATGTCACTGTCACTTCCTTTATCTGGCTGACTGAGCTGCTTCCTTCTCCCCTTCCCCATGTCCTCCTTTTCTTCCTTTTCCCTTTATTTCATTCAGCTTTGACCTGATGACCTGGTCTTACTGCCTACCTCCTCCTCCTCCTTGCTGCCATTTTTTAATGTTGCTTTTTATTGCCTTTTTTTCTTAAATTCTCTTCACCTTTTATCAGATTTATTAGCTTTTTGGACATGAGGTGGCAAAGGCATTTCTTATACTTCTATAGTACTTTTTGGGGCAAGGGACATGGAAAGAGGGAGGACAGGTGGCAGTTCCTTCTGAGTTGTAATCACTAGATTATATAAGAGCAGTATCTGCTCCAAAACTGTAACATCTGCGGGAGGTGATATGAAAAAAATGCCAACAGGATAAGACTTTCAGTTGTCTGATCGCCAGAGCCCTAAGCAAGCTGGATATCTTAGTTATTAGGTCCAGAGAGGAGAGAATAGCCCTGGGAATGTGCCCTGATGCTCCCGGGCTGGAGAAGCCCAGGGTGAATGAACTCTAACTGCCTCTCCTTCCGATGTAGCATGAGGAGCCAACGTTTAGTCCAGAAATCAGGATGGGACAAAAGAGCTCTCAGGTTGGCCCAGAAATTCAAGGAGTCCTTTCTGTTTTATTTTATCCTTGTCCCCCTCCACACAAAAGATATTAGATCAGAACTTCGAATCAAGTACCAGGGCTTCAGGAATGGACAAGGATGGGAACAAGCAAGCTGGATAGAAAGAAGAGTTTAATGGGATGACATGATTGAGCAGAGTGGAGCTCAGGACACCAGGCTGGTCGTGTCCGTCAGAACTGAGCTACACTCTGACTCACAGGCCGCACTGGGAACTGTCCCTGTGGGCCTGGAGCAGCCTTGGCAATATTTGTGATGTCGCTTATCTTCCAGGATGATTCCTGCAAGATAATGTTCTCTGGAATCATGGCAAAAATGCAAGGCTTCTTTTTGTTTGTTTGTTTCTATCAAGAGCAGGTAGGAGCCTATAACATAAGAAGGAAAGTTTACTTATAAAATGTCAAAACTGATGGTTCAATAACAAATATATTTGAAGCCAGTCAGAATGACTGTTGATCGTTTGAGTACTTAAGATTTCTCTTATGGATTACTCTGACCTCTGTTCTTATTTGTCTCTCTTTCTTTCTCTAAAAGCTTATCTTTCACATTTTCTTGTTCTTTAATAGTGCTTTTAGAAAACTTAAAAGAAGAAGGTAAAGGAGTGAAATTATAATTAGTCAGTTCCCTTCAGGCACTTTAGATAAAATGATTAAACTTAGCACTGGATTGTCTCAATGCTCAGATAGATGGTGCACATGCAGGCATACAGATCCTATGTGAATGTACATACATATGCGCTATACACGTATGCACAAACATGTAATATACAGGTATACACATGGGTATGCTCATGGCACTACACATTGTTCTGTATACATTTACATGTGATGCATGCACATGGAAACAGTTATACACGCACAGGCATATAGCCACACACAGATATACACCCCCACAGGCACCCACAGAGAAACATTTGTAATCAAGTTTCATAAAAAGTTAATGGACACACATGTACATATGGAAATATGCGCATCCAGAAATTCACAGGGCTGGATGCACAGAAATAGTACACAGGCATGTTCTAGTTTAGCTGTGGACTTTATTTCTTCCGCTAGCACAATAATGATGTTGGCCATACCTAATTTCTACCATGTAACAGTAATCCTTTACATCCTTTTGTTTATTGTTGTTAAAGAATTTTCATCATTCTAAGTGAAAATTTGAGAAGCCAGAGAGAGTAGGCAACCAGATCAAGCTCACAGAGCCAGCAGTTGGAAGACTCCAGACTAAAACTCAGATGTTGTCATTCTCAGAGCTGTTTCATTATAATCCCCAAATAAGAACTGAAAGCAAAAGCACAAGGACAAGATCTTGCACTAGTTTTTTGCATTAATTAAAAAAATTAATACATTGGTACAATTTAGATATACACAGTATTCACATTCATCATAGCGAACTTGTACCTGTACATGATATATCTTAGTTCCTCTTTTTTTAAATGTTGCTAATAATTTAAAAGAAACAATGACAAGAGCATTTTTGTTTTTCTGGACTACATTGCAAGACCTCAATGGTTTTTCTACCCTCTTGATAAAATTCCAGGCAACATAAGTAAACAGGCCATCTCTTACTCACCATTCAGAAGTCTGATGTTGAGAAAAAGTAGCAAGATGAAAACCACTGTGGGTGTCTCATTTTCCTTCATGGTGATTTCTTTCCCTTGCTGTAGGAAATGTATCAGAGAATCCCTGAAAGAGAAGGCACCAAGCAACTTTTAGGAAATGACAGCCTGGTGAGGCATATGCATAACTTTGTTCTGTATGTTTGCAACTGGATCCTGCTCCCTGCATAATGTGAATGACAAACAGGAGGAAGGGAATGTGGGAAAATGTAACAAGGGTGATTTGGCTCAGAAGCCTTGATTCACATTTTTCATTCACATGAAAAATTCCACCACCAGAGGTCATCAGATGACAACACAGGGAGTTCAAGGGGTGCTGAGGAGGGTTGGCTCCTTTGCACACCCCCCAAAGAAAAATTGTTCTCTTTTCACCCCACAGGCCTTTAATAATATATCACCCATTTTGTGTGACATAGTGTGTGCTACGAGAGAACCATTCTATGAGTGCTTTGATTTACTGGCCAAAATTAATCCGGACTGAAAAGTCTGTATTCTTAGCGTGACTCCATCTAGCACAATTAATACAGCTATTCTGGAAGATGGGAAGGTCTTCCTCTGGAAGCTTGGCTGAGAAAGTTCCAGAAGTCTGGGTTTTAGACATGAAGCAAACCCACAGTGAACTCCATTGATTTTCCATGTAGTTTCTTTCTCCACTTTGTAAAACCTCATAAAAAGACATAATAGACTCTAGTAATACTTCATTTCCCTTGAGTTTGGAGTGTTAAGTAAAATTTGAACCTTTGGGGGTTGAGAGTTTTGAACAATTTATTATTAATTTATTATTTTTACCCTTGGAACAGTTTTCAAAGCCTCTACATGTCCTAAGAGAAAATGAGTTCAAAAGACATTTAAAAAAAGACTCATTAGTCTTATTAGACTTCAAACAGTCTTAGAAAACAATAGATTTAGTCAAATAAGTGTAAATTCTTAGAAACATATGTCTTTAATTTCCCTTAAATTTTATTTTTATAAATCAAGGGAAGATATCCAGGGGCAAAGATGGTCATCATAGGACATTTGAAATGCCAGAGTGTGGTTTAACACGTCCCTAAAAAGACCAAATTTTTGCCCATTTCTGCAGAGATTGTGGGTATTTTTCCACTTCCCGCTGCATATCACTTATTGGAAAACTTTGAAGGCTTCATGAGCCTACCACCACTTTTTTGTGAGACATACTCAAAAGCAGAAATCTTAGAGACAATAGAGGTTTGGGGACTATCAAGAGACAGAGCCCCTGTATCCTGAGGTTCTTGGTTCTATAAAGCATCTGCTATCATGGGTCCTGTGAAGCAGCTGTGCATTGCTCTTTAGGGGACCTTTCATTTGTCCTTCCAGGATTCCTTCCAAGTGCCTTCCCAGCTTGCACATTGTGAACCATCTCATCAGCCCCTCAGTGTCCTCTAAGTCAAGTGCTCAATGACTCCTAATGGGTTTGAAATCATTTTCACTACTTCCAAAGCACCTGCTTTGAGAGAAATATTGAGCTAAGTACCTTAATCATTTGAATTTCATTTGTCTTCAAAATAGCCCTTGGGTAGGTACAGGTCACCAGTATTCAATTTTAACAGATGAGGAAACTGAAGCACACACAGGTGTGGTATATTGTCAGCCACATGCTCATGGGAGAGAGCACTGTATTCTGGTAAATCTAAGGGCATCTGATAAATCATCTTGATTTGTGGTAAGTCTGTGATGGATGGTGCAATTATTCCCCCATCTGTTGGAGAGACAAAAGCTCACTCCAGGTGAGCAACACTCCAGTCCTTGCGTGGCCATGGAATCCTGGCAGGAATAGAAAAAGGCAGAGCTGAGAGTGATTATCTCAGCTATCACTTCATTTATGTTTGAACATCTCAAAAGCTGTCTATCTTTTGAATCCAGCTTATTAGGTACATATAATCCAGAAAGAGCTTTTTGTCCTGACAATTGGTGATCTCAGCCTGGCTTGGAAATGAGATTCCACCCATGGACTAAAGACTATAATATTTCTTTATATCCTTTGGGGCAGTGCACGAAAATGTTAGAGCACAACATGTCATAATCATACCTTTCAGGTGAGATCAGTGGCAACCCAGACAGCTCTTCCAGAATACAACTCCATATATTTTGAACAAGAAATGCTGAGATGGGGAGCAGGGCACAGGCAGTAGATTTAGGTCTCTGCTTACACTTTTCTGTGTTGGGGCGGGATCAATGAAATTGCTAATTTAAGTTTTTCCTATAGTGATCTTTTAGGAAGCATTTTATGTGCTAAAAATAAACAACTTTCCTTTTGGATTTCTTGAGACGTATATGGGATGGATCACTACCACGCACTAATGCCTAAACTTCCATGCCAGGGAGTTGCACATACACATTAAGCCTATTGCAGTTTTATTTCAATAATGACTTCCCAACTTATTCTGTATCTCAACCCCCAGTAAAAGGAACTCCACTGGGTCACTAAATCTTCAAGAGATAAACATGTTGGAAATTGCTCATGCCTGGGAAAGCTGTATTGAGCTCATATATTGGGTAAGTCCCAGAACTAAATTCATGTCTAGCTGATTTACTGACCAGTTTTTATAGCAGGCAGACACTAAGATGAGTATAAAGTTGGGTTTTATCTCTTTAAGTCCATTCTCCATTGCAAGGGCTTGAGCAAAGATAGATGCGACCCCCTTATTCACCAGTTCAGCTTGTATGGGAACATCCCTTGAGGGTGTTTCATGAGGGATTTTCATGATTCTATAGCTGCAATGGCTCCAAATATTTGGAGATTAGTTAGCAAAATATCAACTTTGCATGCCCAGTCCAAGGCAATCAATCATCTGAAGACTTGCTTCTTGCCAGCTCTCTGGGTACAAATGTGGTTTAAAAATGAACAGCTTGCCAGGGAAGTGCTTAATTCACTGAGCCATCTCCCCAGCCCCAAACAACTGAGCTAAGGGGCAGCCCTCACCCCCAAAATGAACAGCTTGGACCTGAGGGTAGGTTCAAACAAGTGTGCAGCCCTCACACCATGCTCATGACTATCTTCCTTGGTTTCCTCTTTTCTGAATCCTAAGAGCCACTCATCTACACATTTCTTCCCATTATTACCTTATTCAAGAATCCATTCCCATCACGCTATGGTGAGAACACCACTTCACTCTTCCTTGAATTGCTCTGCATCAATACCAACCCTGTTTCGACTTGCTTTTTCCAAAAGCCTCCCTTCATTATTTTGTTCCATTTGGCCAAGTCACTTCCACAGAGGCCAAGAGTGGAGAGAGGTCCAGCAGTCCACACCCTGACAGCAGGTCTTCTTGAGAAACTACAACCACTCTGCACAGATGAAAAATCATGGCCACTACCCGCACTAAGGGGGGCATACCATGGACACGAGTAGTGTGGCTCTCTCAGACCTAATAATGACAGATCTGATCTCTGAACACCATTACTTCCTGCTGTTAACCTTGTAACCCTTTTGGCTAGGTCTCTTCTGCATGCTCTGGCCCACCCAGGCCCAAGGCTAGTCAAACTTGAGTGCCAGCAGCCTCAGCTCACCCACACTGAGGGACCTGCTCCCAAGAGCAGGTACCAGGTGATCTCCGTATAGCATGCTCTTTGCCCTTTCCTGTCTTATTTAACATTGTCCATCATGGCTGACTCTAGCAATGGACTTTAAGTGCCAGGCAGGGATTCTGAGGCTCTTTCAGCTGTTAAAAACCCAAATCCTTGTTGGACAAGCAGGTAGAGTGCAAATCTTTCCTTAAAGACTGTCACACATATGGTACACATAAATTATAACTATTCTCCAGTAACTAATCTCCAAGAGAATGTGGTCGTTATATCTTTTTTTCCCCTGTATTTAGGGCAGGGTCTACTGGGTGTTCAGGGTCTTAGTGCTTAGATAGACTCGTAGTGATTCTCCTGTTTACAGCTTCCCAAGTGCTGGGATTACAGGCATGTGCCACCATGCCCAGTCCCAATTGCCATCTCAGCATGCCCCGGAGGCGGGGCCAGCAGGGCATGCCTGGGATTGAACCCCAGCCGCTTTGCTCTGCCTAAACAGACACTTTAGTCCCCCAAGCTATCAGGCCAGCCCTGCTTGTTATGTCTTGCAGATTATAAAACAGCATGAAATACATAGACCCCCAGAACCCCAATTCATGCCTCCTCCTGATCTCTGCCTAATCTTTCCAGTAAGTGCTATTCTCCTGCCTCGCACACTACAGATTGATTTTGCATACTTTTGAACTTTATATACAGTACACAACATCAAACATTTAAGGAGTGTGTGTGTGTGTGTGTGTGTGTGTGT